GGCTCCTCTGTACATGGGATTTTTTCAGGCAAGAATACTGAAGTGGGTTGCCATATTTTCCTCCAGGAGATCTTCCCAACCCAGGGATCAAACCCACATATCCTGCATTGGCAGGTGGGTTATTTACCACTGAGTCACCTTGGAAGTCCAATGACAAAGAAAAACACCACCAAAAATAACAACAGCACCTCTCTTTTTCAAGTGTTCACTGTCTAGCAGGCATTGTGGTCAGTGACATGTATGGTCCCTACTAAATATTCAGCATCACAGATCATTATGGAAGGGAGGAAATGATTGATCAATGTAGTCATGGTAATTCCTTTGGTAAATAATTAGATTCTCATTTTATAATAATATACCAAAATACTTTGAACATTTTCAAAGTTAAAAAAGGAGGATTCAGATTTAAATATGGCTTGTTATCAACTGGCCCTGGTTTACCTGACCACACTGTCTCCCATAAATGATAGTTTTCAAAATGCCTCAATCATCAGTTTTATGATGATTCAACAGAAACATGGAATGCTGTTACAGGGATTGAAGAGGCACTGTCCATTCTGCACGTGTATATATTGTAGCATATATAAGGTTAGAATGCGGCTTCGTGGGCTACTGCAAGAGTTAGGGAGGCTTCAGTTCACCAGCCAGATTCTTGAAACATACCTAATTTATGTATAAGCATGTATAATATGTGTATACCTCAATATGTGAGCATGTATACATAGAAAACAACATATTTAATTGTCTATTTAATCGTATTACTTGATCTATGTACTTAATTACTTTACCTCATAAAAATCCCCAAGATTAACCTGAAGTTATCTTGTCATTATAGGTTTAAATAATCATTAAGGAAATAAAGCAAAAAGTCCTGGCAGAATACATAAAGAAATCACCAGTAATGGGACATAACAAGTAATATTTGCATTGTATTGGAAAGAAAATAAAAGAGTTCATTTTTTGTCTTATAGTAATTTCAGAGTAATTTTTAAAAATACTTAAGAACTAGATAACCGTGTTTTTAAAAAAAATGAGTAATGCAACATTTACATTAAACCTATAGTTTTAAAAAAATCAATTTTGCTAAATTCTCTATGTCAAGTCTACTAAATCTATATTAAATGTAAGTGAAAGAAAACACCTCCACACCAGAAGCTACTTCATTAGAATCTAGGAAAACAGAAAACAAATCTCTTTCGGAGGTGTGCAGGTACCATGTAAGAATCACATGGGAGAAACAAGAGAGACAGGAGCATGCCCTATGCTGCTGTGGCACGTTTCTTAGCAACACCACAGGAAAACATCTCTCTGCTAACAAACTCTGCCAAGTAATATGTGTTCACAGATCATAATTCAGAAAGTGAATTCCAAATAGAGCCAGGAATATTTACATTCATGATAACACTAAACTGTTAAGCTGTTTTCATATTTATCATGTCAATTTTATAAAACAAGAATTATTAGATAAATTACTTCAGTCATAAAAAATGTTATGTCCAAATGAACCATGCCATTTTTTCCCCATAGGATCCCTGATTTTCACTGAATAGGTATTTGATTTTTCTTTAAAGCATATATTTGTCTAGAGTAACTTTATAGGGTTCACAAGCAAACTGCTAAATGCTAGTGTCAGAATATGTTAGTCACTGTCGGTTTCTGAATGGCATGTCATCAAGGGAAGAAACTTGGATTCCCCAAAGAAATGCTTCTCTACAAACAATGCTGTCTTCATTTCACTGTTTGTTCTGTGAAATTTGTCCCTACTACATTCCATTTCAACAAAATGGTGGATGGCATTGTTTTCTATTTTAACATTTCTATTTAGCCTTCTCTGCAAGTGATAATTAATCTATAGCCATATTCACTGATATTTTAATCCATTTGGTGAAAGGAGCACATTATTTTTGGTTTGTATTATTATTAAGATGATACTAGATGTATCATTTGAAGTGCAGTTTGTGATTCTCTACTGATTTCCCTTTATTAGATAAGTCACAAAATTCCAAATAAGCTATTTTTACCATCTCAAACATGTGAGAAGCTACTGTGCTTTCAAAATTTTGTTTTAAAATAAGAAGTGAAATTGTTTTAATTGTGAATAAGTATTTACTATCTATTACAAATTCTAGAGATTCCCCAATTGATTCAAATAACTCATCATTTAAGACTTAAGGAAAGTAGAAAGTACATTTTTCATTTAGAAGCATTCAGGGAGCACATTACAGATCATGTGATTATTTTTTCTAGCAAAATATTTATTAAACATAAATATTATACTTTCTAATAACTAAAAAGAAATGGCAATTAGAATACTCAAGTCAGTACTTTCTGAATTCTGTCACTATAATGCTGTAATCTTTGAAAATCTTGTTTAACTTTCACCTTACGTGGACATGCCCAGGATATGTATGCAAACTAGTTGATCACAAAGATCAACCTATTATCTGATAGAATATTTTTAGATGTTATCCTACCACAAAATGTCTCCATGTCAAAAAGGTTTAATACATTCTTATCCAAAAAGATGTACCACAGAAACAGTCTAAAGGATAAATTATGAACTGTTTCATATGTGATGTTTATATTTGCTTTGTTTGCTCTATAGTTTAAGATAATATTTTGGCAATATGGCTTCCCAGGTAGCACTAGTGGTAAAGAACCTGCCTGCCAATGCAGCAGATCTAAGAGACACAGATTCAATCCCTGGATTAGCAAGATTCCCTGGACAAAGGCATGGCAACCCACTCCAGTATTTTTGCCTGGAGAATCCCATCTCTTGCCTGGAGAAACTCCTGGTGGGCTACAGTCTATAGGGTTGCACAGAGTTGAGCACAACTGATGATAGCACGCAAGCACATTTGGCAATAGAAAATAGCATGATACAATGATTAATTTAAAAATGAGATTGGAAGTACTGACATGAAGTTGCACCTCCATGTTAATAGAAAATGCCATATAATGTATAAAACAAATTCTCCAGGCCAGAATACTGGAGTGGGTAATCTTTCCCTTCTCCAGGGGATCTTCCCGACCCAGGAATCAAACCAGGGTCTCCTGCATTGCAGGCAGATTCTTTACCAACTGAGCTATGAGGAAAGCCCTGTATTATATAATGCAATTTAAGCTTTATTATTGACCATTTAATGCCTACATTTAATATATTATAAATATTTGTGAGTGTGATATCATCCACTTTAAAGGTTTTGGAATTTTACTTTGTTGGAATTAAAAGCAATGGATATAATTCACCAGGAAAACTTTTGCTCTTCAGACCGACCTAAGGAAATCTGCTATGGTCAAAAACCACATAATGTGTCATCTGTCTCCATCTTGTGGTTATTGTAAATACTGCTACTTTTTAGAGAGGCTGAATGGCTATGGAAAAATAGGAGTATTTGGCTATCTTTGGATTTTTACTTTTAGATACCAGAAATTTAAAAAGTATTTCACTTTTAAATGACAGAAAAAATACATTGTTATATCAAAGTGTTAGGTCATCTAAAGCATTTCTATGTTTCTCTGCCAATGTTACTAGTCATTTCTTACAAAAGTATTATGTAACTGTAGTATCATGTAGCTAAACTGGACACCTGAGCATTCCACTCGGCATATATGGTCTAAGCCTGTTTACTTTCCCTTTGAATTTCACAGCACATAAAGGCCTTTGACACTTTTTAGAAAAGTCACAAAATGAGGGGGAGATATTTTTGTGATAAGAAATTGTTGTCCAGGAAAAGTATAATTCTTCAAAAATACTTCTTAGGTTCTCAAATCAAAGATCTTATTGTTTAAAGACAAAATCCTAACTTCCAAATACATACTATTTTCTTCTTTTTCCATTTAACTCAAGAACTGGGGATATTACACTGCTTTGTTTATAGGGGTTTAGAGTCTGCCCAGCTGTGTTTTAATGGGTAAGAAATTTTCAATAAAGTGTATAATTCATAGATCACCCCTGTCAATTCTGAGTAAAAGAAGTCTCATCAGATCATCCATGTGAAACAATCAGAAATGTTCTAATCAGAGTCAAAAAACTTTTGACCTGGTTGAATTAGTCAAAATAAACTTGTCAGCTGTTCTACCACTAAGCATATTTGTCACTATTGAACTTCCTGTTGCATGGAGAGTTGAATACTACAAAGAGAAGTTTTATTGATTAGAAAACACTACCTCAAAATCTTGCAACATGCCTAGTCCCTCCAGGGTCATGCTGCTCCCAACAGCAGAGGTTCTTGGTTTTCTTATGGTTTAGATGTAAATTACACATCTTCCCACTTGGATGCATGCTCCACAGGGATATGCATCAAGCCAGGGCCTCTTTAAACACACGCTGAGCACACTACAGAGAACTGTGTATCATATAGTTAATATATAATCTGCCTTTAATACACTTCTGTGTCCTTTCTTCCTGATAAGTATGTGGTTGGATATTTCTATTATATACCCTTTCAAGAAAGTAAAACAAACCTGAATAATTTGTCTCTTAAAGGAAAAATTAAGGTCATAAGATTCATCTGTCCTGCTGCTTCCAAAGACTAAATATCCTTCATAATTATGTCTTAAATTCTGATTGCTTCAAACTCAGTTTCCTCAAACACTTAGGGCACTTAATTAATTTAGTTAACTAAAACTAAGGATTCAAAGACATTTTATACAGGTTCATGACTTCAGAATAAATGTTCACAAAACATGAGAAGACAAAAGAAAATGGTATTTACATGCATCCAGGAGGAAATCTTTGAGAAACAGATTTTAAACATGGGGATATCACTAACTGCTTTAATATAAATGACTACATTTCCTTAAAATATTCTCCAGATAAGAAAGGTCCTGAAGAAAGCTGGAATGCAAGAGGATGCACTTAGAAAACATAAGAAATTCCACTGATAACATTTCCACTCCAAATGCTGTAACACCGCTTACACGCTAGATTTAGCATGTAATTTACGAGGCTCATAGGTTACACTTGTGCCTTTATGATGTAAGGGGAGAACACTTACCTTTTTCATTTCCATTTGCATAATTTGGAGGCTTGTTTTTATCAATGCTGTTAAAGCTCTGACTTCTCCTATTTAAATTGGAAGCTCCCTGGACCTTGCTGCTGTTGCCTGCAGCTGGCACCCTAGAGGGACCTGGAAGCCTGAAATAGTACAAGAAAAATTACATCATTATTGTACATTACAAAAAGAGAAGAGGAGGTTCTGGGTAGGGAAGGGTTAATGGGAAAATCATAATTTATGGAGTTCAGCAAAAATTGTTGGTTTAAGTGACAAATTGCTAAATACAACATTTGAGAATCACCAGAAAAGTCTTGTTTCATATGATGTAATCTGCCTCCAAAGTATATTAAAAATGCAGGACAATTAGAAATAAAGTAATTCTAACTAAAAACTCATGCTTATCACATGCGTGATGAATACAACTTTGCTTAAAGGGGCTGTAACAATTATATGAAAAGCAAGGGAAATAATAATATTATGTTCTCAGGATATTAAGCAGCTGCCTGCAATTATTGTTAAGATTTTTCAATGTATGGGACATTTGTTTTTATCTTAGGTGGCTGTATTTTAAATGCACTTGTATGTTAATAACAAGAAGAATAAAGTTACATAATAAACTGCACAGAGCAAACACTTACTGAATATCTGAGCTAGTTAATTACTCTAAAACATGGTGTGGAAACCAGGGTCATGAGTTTGTTCATATTGGACCCACCTGTCTCACATAAAAACTTTCACTCGCTTGCCAAAAGTAAAGACCTGGACTTTACCTGGTTACCCCAAAAGTGTGGCTAATAATCACACAGGCCATGTGACAAAAAAGATGCAAGTCTCATAAAAAAAAAAATCTGTTAGTAGAATGACAATTCAAAATGCACGCATAGTGATAGTTGCTTCAGCTCTTCTTATATAAAGGACAAGACATGAGGAAATAAGGCAGACTATCTTAAAATTAGGGAAAGCTTGACAGGAGTTAACGTACTTAAGTTGTTTTACTTGAACTATAATTAAAAGTCAGCTTGGATCATTTATTTCACTGTTTAAACAGTTCCCATATTAAAATTTCAAGTATTCAGTCATTTCAAGGATGGTGCCTAAAATATGCAATTACAATATTTTATTTAGTGTATATTGCATATTTATAATAAACAATCCACATAAAACTAGAAATTAAGAACGGGCATTGGTATTCTAGACATGTTTTGAAACATGACACTGAGCACTGCCAGCGTCTTTGCTAGTTTTTGCTGCCACCATGAGAATGTCACTGTGTACTGCTCTGAAAACTCTATTTTAAGAGAAAAATAAGAAAAATAACCTAGAACTTATAAAGGTAGCAATTTATTTTTTTAACTGTTATCCTTTAGAAAAGGTTTAAAGTAAAAGAATGTTTATGTCTGTTATACTGGTACCCAATATATTATAATTTCACAATCGTGTGCTACCATATTCAAAATTTAACTCACCTTATTACACTACCTGACATACTATCTCCACAGATCATTAGGAAATCAAACTCTTAAATGTATACTATAAATATTTTAAAATAGTAACAGGTATAGCAAAAAGGAATGTACATCAGGAAAACACACACACCAGCCTGAAAACAGAAATGTTGATATCTTGGAATAGTTAATAGCTTCAAAATGTTGACTGTATTTTGGAGTTTAAATACATATGGCTGTTAATAGTTCCTTCAGCTATTTTGCTACTTAGAGGTTGTGTCATACATAAGATTAGAATCTTTTCCAAATGACTCCAGCATTTAACTTCTGCTCAAATGGATCTGCAGGATGTGTAATTCTAGCACAATAACCACAGACACCAGAAATTTTGGAGACCAGGGATTGCACTATGTAGAAAGAACTCAATTAATTAATTTGGCTTAATGTCCCAATCACAATAAAAGTGAGAACTAGTCCTGTAGACTCAGCCACAGACTTAGAAAGTTCAGTCCAAACTCACATTAATAAACAGATTTTGTTACAAAATTTGCCCTGATTGCAATGAAACTTGATGTGTTTCTAGAAAGCAATTAAATTGCATTTTAATCTTGACTGTGACCCATGGAGCCAAGTGATCTTTAGTTCTCAGAAGAACAAATTAAAACAAATTAAAAAATCCATTTGCTCTTCTCATTACCCTAATTTGACAGTCAGCCAGAGCTCCAGATCATTCATCAAAGTAATAAAAAGAGAAATGAGAATGAAGCCAAAAAAAAAAAGAGAGAGATGTTCTATTAAATTGAAAAAGTACTTAAAATACATTTTACATTCATAAATCTTAGAAGTAGTAATAAAAAATGCTTACTGAACATGGTAGGTCTCTGTTCTTTCCATATCCTAATTTATCTCATTTCTTCTGATTTTTCATTAAATACCCTCTCAATTTGTCTATTCAGAATCCGTTTAATTACTATGGAAATGAGCATAAGTTAGAAAACCAAGGCAAGGGGAAAATATTTAATGTCAAGGCACCATCAGCGGTCCTTGTGGTCAAACACTGCATAATATGACTCATTATTGAGTAGTGACTGGTTAATCAACAGTGAGACACTCTCCCAGTGAGTCAGGTGGCACAAATAACTACATCATACTCAGGGGGCAAAACACATTTGCTGTGGCCTCACTGAGCTGTGCCATCATTAACGTTAAAAAAAGATCAACTGGCACACATTTTATATACTATTGATTTTCCAAACAGTATATAATGCACTGTCATTTATTTAACTACACTGACTTTAAAATACATATTTCATAAAGAAGAAAAAATTTAAAGTGCTAAAGGTAAAAGAATGACCCAGGCTGACCTGGTGCTAACTGCCCCCCAAAAATCTTCCAATGTGTCTCAGTGCTGCTTCACAATGTGCAATTATCAATGCAAGGCCATTTCAAAAAGCAATCATAATCTTGTTTTACTTCCAGAAAGAAGTTTTACTTCTAGAAAGAAGAGGGTCTTCAAAGTAATTTTTTTCTTGATTTTCTCTAAGCCTAGACCCTAGATTTTAGCCCAGTCATAGCACTGTGTATAACAAAACTAAATTAGAGGAACTCAAGATCCATTTCATAATTTAACACAACAAGCTCATCCTCAAGAAGTCATGTGGACATCTACTTGGAAAAATTCAGTACTCTAACCTTTTCATCCAGAAGTATGTCATTTTTGGAAAAAAATTTAGAATGATAGGACAAAATATCACTGGGCATTTACTTTATTATCACTAATAAGCAATAAATTAGAGATATTAACTGACCTAGTAGGCTTTTTTTGACTGGTTGCAATTCCACTGTGATTAGACTGAGTTGCATATCTGGCTGCCAGACTGTATGAGGAGAAACAGAGAAATTGAATTAAAGAGATTCCTTGAACATGGAAAGAAAGTACAAACTTACAAGAAAACTATGAGTTAATGAAATGCAATTGGAACATGTATAAACATGCATAAAGAATAAATTAATTACAAAATTATGATAATGTAACATATATACCATGATCTTTGATTATGAACATACTATGAAATAATTAATGCTGTGTACCCCCTTAGTAAGTGTGTTGTCAATGACTGTAAAATAATGGCTGTGTGACAATATTAGTGCCTTCTTAAGTAGTAGTATTCCATCTTATAAAGAATTCAACCTTTGTAAATGACAGTGAAAACTTCGGGAAAGCTAAAATTTGACTTACACCATAGCAAGATCTCTTTCTCAAAAAAAGATTCAAATGACAAAAAGTATGAAATGCGAGTCATTATTTTATGAACTCTAATTAGAAAATTTTAACCTAAATACTATTTTGAATACCAAAAGTTAAAATATCTGGTTTCTGTCTAATAAGTTATTGCTGATCTCCAGCCCTGGATACAGCATTTAAAGGAAGTGATTAATAAAAGATATCTTTCCGGAGAAAGAGCCATGCAAAAATTGAGATTAAAATGGAGTCAAACTCTTCAAAAACAGACTGAACAACTGTTGAGGACAATTTCTGGGAATTCTTAAATTATAATTCTTAATGATTTTTTAAATCACAATCTTTGGTCAAAAATACACCAAAGAACATCATGGAAACCGAGTTTTGAAGAGCAGTGATACTTTATAAACAAAATCAACATCTGTGCTTCAGTTTGAACTGATTTCTGAATTACCTAATGGCTCTGAAACTAGAGTTCTGAGGACACAGTAAGACTCAGTGGACCCAAACATTTCTACCTGCGCTGTGATGGTCATGGGTTGATGTGTGAGTAGAGAATCACTGTGTTGGTGAATTGTGATGCCTCTACATGAAGCCAGTTGTACATGCACAGTTTTCAAGGCCTCCAAGGAGACAGGAACAACATGGGGGTGTTGGAATCAGGGTGGAAGGGTTGTGTGGAGCCCTGCTGTTCAGCCAATTGCTTTGCTGCCAAGCAGAGGGCATTTAATCAAAATGGTGATTAATGGTGTCCTTAAAATGGCAACACGTTTCCTAAGTAGAACTCTGACTCCACAGAGGCAGGCGGTGGTGGGAGCATGCAGGTCCTTAGAATCGCTTGGCTAGAGAGGAATAAATACATCTTCATATTGAGATAGCTTTTCAGGGCACTTGTTTTCAAGAGGATACATGATATATCCTTATTTGCAGAGAGTGCATTCTGTATTCCAGTGGCACTGGCCACAAAGACAACTGGCCACAATGGCCAAACTACACCTCGACTACCACAACATCAGAGGACAGCTTAAACACAAAAACAAAATGTTCCAGTGGGATGGGACATTCACTCAAAAGTTAAATGTAAAAGTACCTGCAGTGAAAAAAGAATCTTCTGTGGATGTGTCAATTGAGAAAAAGAGAACTACCTAAAGGTCTACCATGATGTCTTCTATCCTGTACCTTCCAAATTGAAGACAAATATTAGCAGGAGAGAGGCCCATTAAAAAAAATGCACATTCCCTAAGGGAGCTGAGGCCACCTCATTGATACCTTCCTCCATGATTTATTAAGTATCATAATTTCTACTATGGAAGTGGAAACCAACAGCAAAATCTAGAGAAGGTAATTGACTTGGCCAAAATCAATTTGATTTTATTGCCCATGCGTGTTTTCTAATTATCAGAGAATATAGGGTTTCTTAGGTGGCTTAAAAGTAACAAATCCACCTGCCAAAGAAGGAAACACGGGAGATGCAGGTTTGGTCCATGGGTCAGGAAGATCCCATGGAGGAAGAAATGGCAACCCATTCCCGTATTTTCGCCTGGGAAATCCCATGGATAGAGAAGCTGGTGGGTTATAATCCATTGGGCCACAAAGAGTTGGACATGACTGAGCACATGCACATCAGAGAATACTCTACAAGTTGCCTATATTTTTGTACTAAGCCACCCTACTTCCATTCTTTAAAACTTGGTTTCTGCTCTATTCTCTCCTTGCAATTGTGAAACTGTTATTTGAAGAACACAAGAGTCTGATTCAGTTCTTAATATATTCTAATATCTTTGAATTTGACCATATTGTTCCTTCTGCCTTTCTGACTCTCTTTCATAGACTGCCCTACTAAATAAACTCAATTGATCTGCCCACCATCATTCTTGATCATTTTCTCTTTCCTTCACTTCTTCCATTATCCATCTCTTAAAGACATGCTTTTTCATATGCTATCTTTCCTCAAGCACTTGTATGCATTCTTTCATTTGAGTCTTACATAAGATTTCAGGTAAAATAAACCAGAAAGTGAAAGTGTTAGTCACTCAGTCATGTCCAACTCTTTGCAACCCCATGGAATGGCACCTCAGTCCCTGGAATTCTCCAGGCATGAATACTGGAGTGGGTAGCCATACTCTTGGGCTTTCCTGGTGGCTCAGCAGTAAAGACTCTGCCTACAATGCAGGAGACCCGGGTTCTATCCCTAGGTCAGGAAGATCCCCTGGAGTAGGGCATGGCGATCCACTCTAGTACTCTTGCCTAGAGAATCTCATGGACAGAGGAGGCTGGCAGGCAACAGGGTTGCACAGTCAGACATGACTGAAGCAGCTAAGCAGCAACAACCATACCTTATTCAGGGGATCTTCACCACCCGGGGATTAAACCCTGCTTCCTGCTGGTGTTAGTTAATAATTGAAGGCTGGGATTAATACCTGCACCATATTGCCAGTGATCAACATCAAATGAATAAAAGACACCCACTTCCATGACCTTCAAAATCAACTACCACACCAAACTCACCATTTTCTTCTTTAACTCCCAAGTTCTAATCAGGTCCTATCTTTCATTTCATGATTTCTGTTCACAAGATCACCATTTTATTTAACCCTCTGGACTTGAAGCCTCAGGAGTCAACTCTTCCCTTTTTTCTTCCTTTTAATTATTGTAGATGTACAATCAATATCCTGCCATGCTGATTTGACCTCTACAAATTTATCTGTATCTATGTTCTCCTTCAATTTTCATGTTTCCCATGCTAACGCAAGCCTCAACACTTCCCACAGCGACTCTAGTTCCCTTCATTTTTCTTGATTATTTTTTAACCTGGCTCTGACTCTCTGTGCAGCAGAAACATATTTTTCCCACAATGCTTGTAATACCATTTCCCTAGTTTCAGATTTACAAACTGGCTAGTAACAAAGTAGGTGAGTGGATACAGTCAAAACAATTTATTAATGAAACAGACACAAGGGACATGTAGATACAGCTCTGAGGCAAGTGAGGGGAGATAAAAAGTGAGAGCATCAGTCAACTAAGGATTTGCAGACATCTGGATGGAAGATTGTGTCTTCTTTTCCAGAAATGTTATCAAAGGAAACTCCTTCTAGTTAATAATTTGGATGGCAAAAGGTATCAGAAACAAAAGAACAACAACAAAAATACTTAGAAACTCACTGTGGGTCCTATACTAAAGAAGCATCTGCTCATCTATATAATAAAGTATAATATCAAGGGAATGCTTTTTATTTCCTCTAACATGGAAGGGAAGAGGTGGAGTTTCTAGACAGCCAATTAAACAAAGGATGAAATTCATCTGGTACTCAGAACACAGAAGGATCCCAACTGCCAGAACTATCTAAAACAGCTTCAGCACAAATCTCCACATGGAATTGCAATATCCATGTATTTATAAAGAAAGAATGCTTCTCAAAATAAACAGATCCTGAATTTTGATTATCTATTTTTATTAACCACCAGAGTCTCACTACTCAAAGTGTTGTCCATAGAGGAACAGAACTGGCATGATTTGGACCTGCTTTATTGACTGCCAAAGCCTTTGACTGTGTGGATCCCAATAAACTGTGGAAAATTCTGAAAGAGATGGGAATACCAGACTACCTGACCTGCCTCTTGAGAAACCTGTATACAGGTCAGGAAGCAACAGTTAGAACTGGACATGAAACAACAGACTGGTTCCAAATAGGAAAAGGGGTACATCAAGGCTGTATATTGTCACCCTGCTTATTTAACTTATATGCAGAGTACATCATGAGAAACACTGGGCTGGAGGAAGCACAAGCTGGAATCAAGATTGCCAGGAGAAATGTCAATAACGTCAGATATGCAGATGACACCACCCTTATGGCAGAAAGTGAAGAGAAACTAAAAAGCCTCTTGATGAAAGTGAAAGAGGAGAGTGAAAAAGTTGGCTTAAAGCTCAACATTCAGAAAACTAAGATCATGGCATCTGGTCCCATCACTTCATGGGAAACAGATGGGGAAACAGTGGAAACAGTGTCACACCTTATTTTTTTGGGTTCCAAAATCATTGCAGATGGTGATTGCAGCCATGAAATTAAAAGACGCTTACTCCTTGGAAGGAAAGGTATGACCAACCTAGACAGCATATTAAAAAGCAGAGACATTACTTTGCCAACAAAGGTCCGTCTAGTCAAGGCTATGATTTTTCTAGTGGTCATGTATGGATGTGAGAGTTGGACTGTGGAGAAAGCTGAGAGCCGAAGAATCGATGCTTTTGAACTGTGGTGTTGGAGAAGACTCTTGAGAGTCCCTTGGACTGCAAGGAGATCCAACTGGTCCATCCTAGAGGAGATCAGTCCTGGGTGTTCATTGGAAGGACTGATGCTGAAGCTGAAACTCCAGTACTTTGGCCACCTCATGAGAAGAGTTGACTCATTGGAAAAGACCCTGATGCTGGGAGGGATTGGGGGCAGGAGGAGAAGGGGACGACAGAGGATGAGATGGCTGGATGGCATCACCGACTCGATGGACACGAGTTTGAGTAAACTCCGGGAGTTGGTGATGGACAGGGAGGCCTGGCGTACTGCAGTTCATGGGGTCGCAAAGAGTCAGACATGACTGAGCGACTGAACTGAGAGGGTTCCTTGGTGGTTCATCTGGTAATCT